AAAATCAACCACCAAAATCATATTTTATTTATTTCATCTCAAATAAAAATAGAAATTGTGAAGATTAATTTAGATCATCCATATTTAGAAACCGAGTCAACTGAAATGGATAGGTAAAAAAATAATAGAAGTTCACAACATTTTGTCTCTAGGAAATAGAAATTTTTGTTATTTTGGTCAATAATGATGAGATGCAAATTTATCCTTATTCAGAGTTATCTTGCTTTGCAACCCTACGCATGAAATCTTTCTCTTGAACTCTTCTCGATCCATCTACTGTTTTATATATCGTCTTCATCCCGTCCCTGCAATCTCTTCTCGTCTGGTGAGTTCTCTATGAGCGATTTTCCTTTTGCATTTACTCTCAAGAAATCTACGCATTTCGATTCTGTATTATTGTTAAAATGTTCAATTTTTCATTACGATTCTTGGAAAGTCTTTGAACTTAGCTTGCATCTTGATTGATTTCGTTTTGGGTTTCTGAATTTTTCAACATCCCAGGTCGTAATCTCATCGATTCTGCTGTATTGGGTGTTTAATTTGTTTCCTTTTTTTCAACGCTATGCTTATTGTTGAATGTATCAAATTTCCCATTATTATTATTATTATTTTTCTGGTGATGCACGGAATCCATGTTGGGTAATTTTCTAGTTGCTTAGATGGTTCTTGAGTTTGTTCAATTTGGTTCTGTTTGTATAATTTTTCTTTGATTTATATTTCAGGGAGAAAGCATTGTTTTTGATAGTCAATATGTATCGGTATTTGATGGAATTGTATGAAGGTAATATGTCTGGTGGCTTGAAATTGGAGAGTGCTATAATTCCTCTGTTGAAAATTCTCTCCCTCACGGTTATGGGATTGGTTCTTGCGCACCCCAAAACCCAAATCATCCCAAAAGCTACTTTTAAGCTCCTAAGCAAGCTTGTTTTTGCACTCTTCTTGCCCTGCATAATCTTTACCGAACTGGGTGAAAGCATTTCACTTGATAGCATTCCTCAATGGTGGTTTATTCCTGTGAATGTGTTACTCAGTACTCTCATTGGTTGCTTGCTTGGATGCTTGGTGGTCATGATATGCCGCCCACCTCCTGAGCTCAATAGATTCACCATTGTCATGACTGGATTTGGCAATACTGGAAATCTCCCTCTTGCTATAGTTGGATCTGTTTGTCATACATCAAAGACCCCATTTGGACCGAATTGCCATTCAAAAGGTGTAGCCTATGTCTCTTTTGCACAATGGGTTGCTGTAATTCTTGTGTATACCCTTGTTTATCACATGATGGAACCTCCATTAGAATTTTATGAGGTTGTTGGAGAAGGTACTGAAATTGAGGAACAGAGTCCAGCTAATGATATCAGTAGACCTCTTCTTATGGAAGCTGAATGGCCTGGTATTGAGGACAAAGAGACTGAACATTGTAAGACACCATTCATTGCTAAGGTTTTTAACAACATTTCTAGCCATTCGCAGATCAGTTCTGCAGAACTTGAAATCTCAGGAGAAGCTAGTGGAAATAGTCCCAGGTCCATTAGATGCTTGGCTGAGCCCAGAGTGGTCAGGAAGATCAGAATTGTTGCTGAACAAACACCAATAAAGCACATACTTCAACCCCCCACTATTGCATCTCTTTTAGCCATCTCTGTTGGTCTGGTGCCTCAATTAAAAGCTTTTCTTTTTGGATATGATGCTCCACTGTCTTTTGTCACAGATAGTTTAGAAATCTTAGCTGGGGCAACGGTGCCTTCTGTGATGCTCATCCTTGGGGGTATGCTTGCTGAGGGGCCTAATGATTCAAAACTTGGCCTTCGAACTACCATTGGTATAATTGTGGCAAGGCTCTTGGTGCTTCCTTTGATTGGCATGGGGATTGTGGCATTAGCTAGCAATCTTAAGTTCCTTGTCCATGGAGATGCAATGTATAGTTTTGTGCTCTTATTGCAGTACACTACACCAAGTGCCATTTTATTGGGAGCAATTGCAAGGTTGCGGGGTTATGCAGTTAGTGAAGCTTCAGCTCTTCTCTTCTGGCAGCATGTGCTTGCCCTATTTACCATGTCTTTTTACATTGTTATCTATTTTAAGTTGCTTCCCCACATGTTACATTGAGGCCTTTGCCCAATAGCTCACGCCGCGCCCCACCCCCCCCCCCCCCCCCCCAAAAAAAAATCACCTGTATTCTTACTCAGTGGTTAGCATTAAGTGCCACCAGATTGCAGCTGTGCAGTGTCCATGTAAGCCTTAAATAAGATTTTCTCCTGTTTGCTTTAGTGGACTCAAACTATGCAGTGAATGCAGCTTCTCTTATGTAAGTTCCCTTTGTAGATCAATTAAATTAAATAGTTCTATTATGCTTTGCAGGAAAAGAGCTAGCGACTTATATTGTTTCCCTTGAAGTAGATTTTCATAATATGGTTTGTTTTTCTCTTTTACCATCATATGATTCATCTTTCAATGAGTTATGCAAAGCAGAGAAGTAAGGTTTGTTTTTCTCAACTTGTGGATTTGTCTACCTTGGATGGCATCTGTGGTCTGAAATTAGGCTTGTTCAAGGCAGCCTCTTAGCAATTTCATTTTACATGATGTGATCTTAACTCCAGTGACTTGGAACATAAAAGACCACAAATTCTCTGAAGAATCTGAAAAGCATGCCGCCTTATCTTTCAAGGTCAAATCGTCATCGGATTCCTTCCTGTGCATTTGCCATGCTTATCTTCTTCTTCTCATTTTTTCTGTTGTCTTTATGTTCAGTCTCATAAAGGCTATATGCTAGAGAATAGAGATTAAAAGATGGACTAATACGATGGACCGCATGGTATTTTCTTGAAGAGAATAGTATATTGTACTTTGTCCTGCACATGTTACATTATTTTTAAGAGAAATGGAAAACTCAAGATGTTTTGACATTAAAAATGTCAAGATATCCAATCATATTTATTAAATGTATGAGGTATAGTGTATATTTTAATTTTATTAAATTTATCATGTAATTATTATTAGACATTCTTACATTTTTAATAAAAAATCTCATTTTCCTTATTTTTAATTATTAATAGAGATGTGGATTATGGGCCTTAATATTGGAAGATATTGATGGTTATAAGAAATATAGTTTTTGCAAGACGGAGTACACTTTGGTTTTCTGATTCTGGATATACACTCTATAACTTTGAATTCAACAATAGTTTCGAAGTAGGGCGGCGCGCATGCAAAGCTTGTGGTATTGGAGGACTATGGTGGTCAATTCAATTGGTGGTGCGTCAATCCAACATTTTAATTTGAGTTTCTTTTCCTGAATGCCATAGGTTGGACCTAAATGAACAGTTTTAACCCAATTCAGAGATTTCTTCAGGTTTTCAGTCCAATCCATGCTTATCCTAAGTGCTCTCATTTTATAGCAGGTTTAACCCAACTCTTTAAAAAGTTCTTTCTTTTCAGACGTTGAAGTTGGGCCAACGTGTGGTCTTTTGAAAAAGTTGTTTAATTTTTTTTTTTTGAATGATTTTTTTCAATCTATATACCCATTAGAATATGAAGAGCTACAAAATGCAATAATCTATTGTTATCAATTTTTTTAAA